AAATGTTTTATAATATAGTATATATTTTTTTTCTTTTCGGTTTTTAAGAACAATTATATTCACATTTAAAAAAAAGTACGCTTTTGAGTGTAGGGGGTGTCAAAAGAAGTTGGGCCCAACATCTGGTTACTGTGTAAAGGCCCAACAATTTGACTCCATATCCATAGTCGTTTTTGAAACCAGGAAAAAACCATCGTATCTTCATATATTATGATAAGAAGTCTTTATTTTAAAGATATCGATTTATGGAAGAGCAAATTATATGAAAAAGTAACGTATTTTAACTTGATTTTTATTTTGGGTAATGTACTTTCAAAACTTTTATTTTGGTATCTAAGATGTAAAGTTTTAAACATTTAAGTACTCATGTAACCGGTTGAAGACTAATTTTAGATTAAAAAAAAGACTAATTTTAATTAAAAAAATCCATGTCACTAACTACGTTAGCAAATAATACTGAGTTGGATACCATGTCACTCACCACATCAACATGATAACCGGTTAATGCTTCAACCTGTTATCCGAGTACTTAAATGTTTAAAATTTTACATCTTAGGTATAAAAATAGAAGTTCTGAAAATACGTTACTCAAAATAGAAATCAAGTTAAAGTACGTTACTTTTTATGCAATTTGTTTTTTAATTAAATCTGTTAAAGTTATATATCTAGACCGTTTTTATTTTTGTTGGGTTAAGAACAATTATTTATTTTCAAATTATTAGCTTTTAAGTTTATATAATTAAATTTTTACCTACTTCTTTGCGTTAAATGCATCAAAGTATCACGCATATATGTAATGCACAAGACTTTAAGTTGACATGACATTATAACTACCTGTGCCTATAATTCTTTGTATCTAGAGGCGGATTCACACTAGTCCATATGGTGGCACGAGCTGCCGCTTTCTTCCTTTGTCATAGTATAAAAAAATGTGGGGTCATGAAAGGTGTCACTGTATTATTATGTTTTGTGCAACTGTATATATTATGAAACTACAATGATGACATAAGTTCTTTTTGGTAGAGTTGGTTTGTATGAATTTTATTATTTCTTAAGTACAAGCTTGAATATTGTCGGGATCATTTCCTTAGTTTTTAGCTTTAAATTTCAAATTTTATTATGTTTCTGGTGAAAAAAATAATAATTAGAGACTCAACCTCAGTACCTTGTATACGGGAAACAAAGAATAAACTAACAGCCTGAAAATGGTTTTGTAAAAGAATCCGTACCTTTATTTTTTATAATAAAATGATGTCACATCTAAAAAAAGTAATTACATGAAGGTTGGATAAATAAATTAAATGAAAAAGAATATATAGGTACAAAGGGAGTACTAAATAGTAATGTAGTATGATGAGGTAGGGCCAATCAAGAAATGCCATGTGGGCACATCTACATTTTTAGAAATTTGTACAAAGGTATAGTTTGAAAATGTCATCTTGTAACTACTTAATACGAATATTCATGTCGATATATTAGTATTTACCAGAAAGATACCATTTAATTATTCTCGTACATTGTATCGAGATAAATCTTTATTTTAATGTTTAATTTTTATTATTTTTTATCATATTAATACGATTTTATGTGGTTTTAAGAAAACGATAATGTTTTTATTTTTGAATGAGATATAAATTTGAAAAAAAATAAATCGATATTAATATCAAATTAACTATTTAATTATTCTTTTTTTTTTGTAACTTATTTAATTCATTTTTATTATTATACGTTAATTTAGATTTAATAACAAACTAACAAAGTAGTTTGTTTTTTATTTAATAATATAATTTTTTATAAAGATAATAATTAAAAATTCTATTAGAACTCAATGATTATCTTAATTATAATTTAGATTTTCCATATTTAAAATGAATGTTTATCATGTATTTGATTATGTTTGTCTGCTGTTAGTTACACGAATTCAAATATGACGTTTTAATAAGTTGTATTTACGCACAAATTACTTGTAATCTTGAATTTTAAGTAATATGAATCAATAAGCAATACTTCGTGTATAAAACATGGTTTTTAAGAGTTTATTGTCAAATGTTTTATAATATAATATAGACAAAAATTACTTATCATTTATGATCGTATTCTTTTACCAATTTATTTCCCTAGGTAAATATTTTTATTTTTGTCACTTGCATTTAACATATGGATGATCAGTAACGATAATTTCTCATATAATCGGATGTCAGATCCAGGGATGGAGATGTATCTTTTCTACTCACCCGGGATGGGGATGATATCCCCCACCCTGCTTAGGCCAAGATTTGTTATATATATATATATATATATATATATATATATATATAGAGAGAGAGAGAGAGAGAGAGAGAGAGAGGAGTGATCAAATGAAAACCGCCTTCATTTGTGTAAACCTTGCAAACCACCTTCATCCGTCGATTTCATTGTTTAATCTTATGAATTTTTTTCATAAAATTGTTAATCTTGTGAAATTGTTTCATATAATACTTTTTTTGATGAATTTGTTTCATATATGGTTGTGAAATTGTTTCATATAATACTTAATGAAACTGTTTCATGTATTTCTCTAAAATTAATGAAACTGTTTCATGTATTTCTCTAAAATTAATGAAACTGTTTCATGTATTTTTGTAAAATTAAAATAATGAAGATGATAATATCTATGATTAACACCCTCCATAATAAAAATGATTAATCAACCACTCATAATTACAAAAAGATAAACAAAATGAAAAATTATGATTGGTTGAATGAAGTTTGCATGGTTTGTACAAATTAAGTGGTTTGTATTTGATCGCTCCCCTATATATATATATATATATATATATATATATATATGTGTGTGTGTGTGTATATATATATATATGTGTGTGTGTGTGTATGTGTATGTATAATCAAATGAAAACTTCATGTATTTGGTTTACAGTGTGAAACTTTCTACCTCTATTTTTTGTTTTACAAACATGTAAGAAGTTTTTCATTGTAAAACAATGCATTGTGAATAAACATATGTTAATCAATATTCTGTACTTAGCTTTAAATAAGTAAAATATGTGAAATAACACATGGAGCACTAGTGGATTCTCACAATATTATGAGTTCTCAGATAATCTCCCACTATTTTGAAACATTCATCGATTATGCACCATCTTGGTCATTGATCTCTTACTATTCTTGTATTCCTTATACATATTTTGAGTAAAACCAGATTTTTCTTAATCGATGTGCGAGTATTGTAGAATTAGCATATGCAATCACTTTGATTATCTCAAAAGTAAGATTTGCAGTTTATAGATACTGAAACGCATTCAACTACTTAGTTTACTTGAGTATTAACTGAGCAATATCTTATTAGCTTACTTGAGTTTCTTTGTATACCGAGTTCTGTAAGAGTCTAAGAGACGCGTTTAAACGCGGCCTATAATAACATTTAGTTAAGCATTTTTCAACGGGGACAAGTTGGGGATGAGCCTATATTACAAAGGGAGGATATTTGGTTCTTCATGCCCGGTTGGGACGAGGACAAGATCAGGAGCAGACACACTATATAAATAGGTGGAAGGAAGGCAAAATTGTAACACCCGTAGAAGAACGCCCAGGAGAACAGTCAGAAAACGATCAGAAACATTTGAAGCGTGGGTGACATGTGGCATGGCCTGAGCCGCGAGAACGTCTGTTTGGCACGTTTTCGGACATGGGCGACTTGGTTGCGACTTAGGTCGTGGAAACCTCTAGGGCATCTTTTAAACCCTATTTTTAGGGGTTTTCACCCAAATCTTCCTCCATCTTCCCCCCTCCCTCTCTTGGCAATTTTGACACTTAGGGGACGGTTTTTGAGCATGAAGAAAAGAAACTTGGAGGTTGAAAGTTTATGGTGGGTGGTCTCAATATCATTGAAGAGGTAAGTTTTGAGTTATATTTTGGGGGGGGGGGGGGGGTTTGTGAAGTTGAAGCTTGTAACCATTTTTGTTGCATTTCTAGGCTTGGTTGTAACCTATATAAGGTTTATAAAGATGCTTGCTTGTAGATCCCATTGTCTTCATTTTGGAAGCTAAAAATGTGGGTTTAGAATCGAGGTTTAATTTAACTTAGTAAGGTGAGTTTCAGGTTACTTTGTAAAAAATTTACATGCCAAAAATATCTTTTTTGGAGTCTTAAGATGTTTCCTTGGTATTCATCAAATATGTTGGTTACCTGATGAGATTACATCTTTGGTACAGTTAATTTTATAAATCTTGTGAATTGCTTTTATTTATGATTTATTGTATGAATGGAGGTTATTTAACGTTAATGCATTTTTAGTTTATTTGGTTTTATAAACCGTTAGGAAAATGCAAATTATTATGTTATGGGGTATTTTGGGAATATAAATAGTATGATTTTATTTAGAAAATGATTTATCGCAACTAATGATAGGTTTTTGAATTAATCATACCCTTGGAGTATGAATTTGCCTATTTATTGAGCAAATGCACTTTATTGACTCGTGTTGGCTCTTATTTGAGTAGTCAAATAAGTTGTGATGTTTATTGATTTGATATTGGTCTAAATGAGTTTTGGGGACATTTTAAGGGTTTAAATTACTCAATGTTGAGCTTTAGATGTGGTTTGCATTTATTGCATATTTATTGGAAATTACATCTTTTGAGTATGTTGGTTATTCAATTGGAGTCATCTAATTTAGAACGTAATACATTGGATCCATAAGCATATGAGTCGTATGATGTCATTCTGGGTATTACGGAGATAAACTCATGTGGAGTTAAACTCTGAGACCTATGACTTGTCGATGTCATTTGATATTACGGAGGTGAACTTGCATAGAGTCAAACTTCATGTCCAATAGGTTGATGTTTGTTGTTTTAAGTGAAATTTTGATGTTTTCACTATAATTTCTAGTGAGTGGCTACCAAGTCAAAGATTGGGGAAACTTGTGGTTGTACTTGTATGCGTCTTATACAGAGGTTGACTTTTGTGGGTGAGACTCGTCTAGAGGACGAGTAGGAATCATGGCCATCCTCATGCTTGCGGTGGTACTCGCTAAAGTCCTATACGGAGCTGGGGCTTGGGTGGTACTCATTGAAGTCGTACATGGAGCCGGTGGTACTCATTGGAGTCATATACGGAGCTTGCATCTTACAGTGGTACTCGATAGATTCATATACGGAGCCCATGGATCTTGAAAGAAACTCGGCAACGTTGATGCATTTCTTATTTGTGTTCGTCACATTTGATGGATGCTGGTCTTCCCCGTCACTGAAAGGTGTTATTTTTGGATAATGTATTGTCCATGTTTTCAGTGTTGTTTTTTTAGTTATGGAGTGCATCCATAATTTATGGCTTTGTCATATTGGAACATATCCATCTTTTGGTATTTTGGATAATAAAGTTGTATTCATGTTTTCAATATTTGAAATATTAAACCTTATTCATCATTTGTGTGAGTATTGAATTTTGGTTTCATGTTTAAATGGGGTCTTGGTCACCGCATTTTCATCACAAGATGGTGGATTTTGTACTTTTACTAAATACATTTCATTTGGGAAAATTGTAATTTAAATAACATTTCTTCATATTTGCCATTTTATATTAAAGATGAAAACTAATTGAATCACTAAGTGTTAAGGCTAACACTTTTTTTCTTTTTGGCATGTACATCAGGTCCTCGTTGGGGAATGATATTAGTGACCTCATAACTAGTTAAGTACTAGTTAGGGGCACGACAATGATTTAGTTATTTGGATACGTCTTCCATGCTTTGGAGCTTGCGGTTGTTATGGGGTTTTAGTAACACTCGTCCTAACCTAGACTTTGTGTAAGGTTCGATTTACCAGTTGTTGATACTAAATCCAGATTTTCCATTTGAGGTAATCAAATGTTAGGCTATAGGGAAAAAATTAACCTTTATTTGATGTATTAATAAAAAAAAAATTAAACTAGCCACTCTATTTCAGATTTTAGGGTGTTTCAGAAACCACAAATTTCAATAAATAAAACTTTACCCTTAAGTTTTATCTTTATTTCTGAATCCCCATCTTTTTGGCTTTGTACATTTTTTTAAAGTGTGCGAAGATCAATAAACTCATATACATGTAAAATAAATAAAATAATGGTATAATATATTATTCACTTTAACCACACTAGTAGAAAAACTGAAAAAAAAAAAAACAAATTGTTTAACCTAAAAACCGGAAAATCTAAAACCGATTTGGTTCAGATAGGTTATTCAACTTTCGGATCTTTTACACCCTTGGTGTGCCCTCAATCGCCTAAAATTTCTAGATCCGTCAATGGACGATACGGAAGAATCGACGATGGGAATAGAAAAAGACGAACCTACCCCAATTCCATCCCTGATTTAACACCATATTACACTTTAAAACCTCAAATCAATAATTTGTCTTGTTTTCATTAAATTTGTGGTCTTTCTTTTAGATGTCGACCATTGTATTATTGTCCATTAAGTTCTTGGAGGTTTTCCGAAGGAATCCAATGTTTAAATGATTTCTTGCAATGGAATCTTTAAAAGGGTCCATTGGCATGCCAAAAGTTTCTAACACTACCTTTTATTATAGGCATGTTTGTAAATTATTTAATCAATCATTATAAACATATTCATAGAAAAGAGTGACAAAAAAATTAATCAATCAGATGCCGTTTTTGGTATTTTCTAAAAAATTTATAAGACAAATATCTGAACTATTTTTTGACTTGTAATGCGTTCTGACTGTCAACATCTTACTACTCGGTAACTTATTTTTAATCTAAAAGACGAAAGTATCATGTATGTACTTTTTTAAAAACTTTTGAAGTAGCTACACTAAAAAGTACGTATATGTTGTTTCCCTCCCAATTTTTACTGTAATTACATGTATATGTATGTGTGTGTGTATATATATATATAGCATTATATGCTCAAGCAAAGAATGGTACCTTACTTGGGCAAGTGAAAGTGGAATATTTTAACTCATCTAGTTTTAATTTTTTCTAAGTAGTCACCGGAAGCTTGAAAACCCATTATGCCACGAGAGCATTGATTTTTTTTTTGGCTAGTTTAAGTATTTATAAGAGTTCTTTTTCTTTTTAAAATTAAATATAGGGAAAACTGAAAAGTTTGAAAAAAACTCAATAGATTTTAATATCATGAACAATTAAGTCACTGAACATTTTTTAACAAATAAATCTTTGTATTTACTGAATTCGAACAAAATGGTGGTTCAAAACCTAGAAATAACCTATGGTGGTAAAAATATATGTTTTAGTGAATTATTATTATATTTTTAGTTAAATAAATGATGATTAAATATAATTTTAATAAAAATGGAAAAAAGGAAGAGTAAAAATGGAGTTAAGATGAGGATGAGAAGGAAGGAATTGGGAAAAAGCAAAAAACGAAAACAAAGGAGACAAGCAAAGGGCAGATGCTGAAAAGTACGTACGTGGCCATGTACGCAAAAGAGAGAGTCGGTGCCATTTGCCAAATGCATCCCACATGCCTTTTTCATTTTTCAAGTACAAACAAAATCATCACCATTATCAATTTCAATTTTAATATCTTCAATTTTTATTTTATTATCCATATTTTATAACAGGAAAACAATTTTTTGTTCATTAACATGTACAAATTCATCATTTTCAACATGTAAAGTTTTATTATTTTAATTCTTTTTATTATAATTTTCTGTGGAAAATGAACTTCGAGACAAAACGGTTGCTTTAGGAGTCTAAATTGGAATTATGAGATATATATTTATCGTAAAGTGTATAACTCTCATTCAGTCCTAAATAATATCATCCAAAAGGAACACAATAGAGATGATACAATTTTTTAAGCTCTAAAACTTACCGACTTCAGACAATTGCCTTCAACATCAAGACAACATGAGAGATTTAATATGGTATTTATGCACATGTGTGTCATGTTATACAAGTCCGTTGGATCTTGGTACACGACCAAAAATTTGTCCTTTGAATGACCCTCATGTAACTCTTTTTATCATGGTTTGGAAGATGTTTTGCAATTTGTATTGTTGCTTTGACTTTATTACCGGTCCACATCAAGTACTTGCCTCATGGTTCTTTGTACAAGACATTTTCATATCTATGAAATACAATGTGATGCATCCAACATTTAAGGGACGCCACTATCAAATCAACCCTCAACATTGTATTATTTGTTACATTTCTTGCTGCGGTTTGACCAGCAAATAACATCCTTTTTTTGTTTGGAATCCTGAACAGACTACCAGTGATAAATTGGAGAAAGGTAAGGATAATGTCAAACTTTGTTACAACATTTTAAAAAATTACGTTGACATATGTCAAATCATAACTGAATTCCTTAAATGTTTGATGCATCACAGCTTAAACCTTGCAATAATAGTTACAAATCATGGTTTTTCTAAATAGAATCAATAAAAATGTTGATTTCATTTTAGTACAATTTGCTATATTTATCCACACAGAGGCATTTGCATTGGCTGTACCTTTTATTTGAAGTCTTGTAAGAAAAAATATATATTGGATTTTTGTCATGTTAAAACAGTACTTACGAATTGGTGGGATCCAATCTAATTAAATAATAAGAAACGGTTATAATTTAAGTTATGAACCCGTTCATGATTGAATATATGAGGTTTATAAAATTTGTAAAAAAGAGAAATCTTGATATGGACCTCTTAAAGAAGTTCATCACCAAAGATTAGAGATGGTGATTTGCCCCGACCCGGTAATGATCCCGGGTTATGGCCAAGCATCCCCGCTAGACTAAAGCCGGAGATGGGGCCGGGTAGCGCACCCCCCGTCCCGCGCCCTATACTCGTTATATATATCAACTTTAATTATTATTAATATTAAACTTCCAAATTAGGTTTTACTTTTTCCTTTCAGATCGACTCGACGATGACTTCCTCATACCTCTTGAGTTTTCGGCTCTTCCAGATTTCCACAACAATATAACATTGTCGGCTAATCGGCTTCCATGGTTCCATCGTCCACCGCCCAACATCATCATCGACTTCCAAAATCCAGACTTCCATTATCGTCCTTGTCCACCAGGTGGCAGGGTCTACACTTCTACTTTTTCTCCTCTACGTGGCTAACTGGATATGGCTACTTTGAATGTTTCCGAATTTTTTTGAACAAGATAATGAGCAGGAATGTGTACGCTTATACCTGTTTTTCATTCGAGTCTTCAAGATTTAATTAGTGTAAGAGTCTAATAGGAAAAAAATTAAAAAGGAATTTGTGGCTGTATTTTGGCATTGCTCACATTCACAAGCCTCCCAAAGAGGTTTTGTAACCATTAATTATAATCTCTTACTTCTTTTTTCTGCAAAAAAATCGAATTTGTTCCATTGTCGGGTCTGGGAACGGGTATTGACGGGTCGGGGTCTTACTAGGGATTGGCCCCTTATGGACCGGGGACGGAAAGTTATTCCTTGTACCTGCCGGGGATCGGGTCCGGGTCGGGCCGGGGATAGCATAACCCGCCCCGTTGCCATGAAGATACCATAAATTTTGTGGGGTCACCTTCTTTTTTTGGTGGAAATAAAAGCAATATAAAAAGAAGAAAGTGCAAGTCTTGCTGACGTCATTCAGACAGCCAAAACCCATCTCCCCTCAACGGGAAGAAAGCATCCAGATCTTGCAGGCCAGAGAAGCTTCACACAATTCCCTCTACTCCTAAATCCTCTTCTCTCTCCTCCAATTGCTAAATCTTGATGACACCACACAAAACTAACCCAGATAACATGAATTGGGTGAAGCACAAGACCACCACACAATCACCATTAACAACACTATGAGACTTCTTTTCATCCTATCTTTCTTAACTTTACTCTCCTCCGCCCACCCCACTAAAAGAAGAATTCTCCACCAGCCACTATTTCCGGTCAGTTCGGAACCATCACCAGATAACCCATTCCCACCTCCACCACCGCCTATCACCACCACCATCACCACCCCTGACCAGCCTTTCTTTAATGAAAACCCAAATGGGCAGACCCCGGATCAGCCCCAATTGCAGCCACCACCAACGCCACCACTGGTGGTGGGGGCTGATACCAGTAATAACTCCATATCACACCCCATTGCCCCACAGCCAGCCACCAAACCTGCCAAGAAAATAGCAGTTGCAATTTCGGTTGCAATTGTGACTCTAGGAATGCTGTCAGCATTAGCATTCTACATCTATAAACACAAGTCTAAACATCCAGGTGAATCCCAAAAGCTTGTGAGAGGACCAAATTCACAAAGAAATAATGAAGATAACATGCCACCATCCACTTTTCTCTACATTGGGACTGTTGAGCCATCAAGATCCGTCGGTGAAACCACCAATGCTCCACAAAATGTATCACCTTATCATAAATTGGGATCAGTTAAAACATCAGACCGATATAGGCCAAGTCCTGACCTTCAGCCACTTCCACCGTTGACTAAACCCCAGCCACCACCAACCATCACTTCTCCACCGGCCATGTCTTCTTCATCTGACGAAGAAAGCCACGATTTTTACACCCCTCATGGATCAATTGCAAGCACTGAGGAAGGGAATTCGATTTCCAGATCAAAACAGAGTCGTTCAAGCGATAATAACTCTAGCTTGATGATCCAACAAAGAAGCAAAGCACGCTCTACAAGTCCCATTCCTCATTCCAAGAGAACTTCACCAAGGTCAAGGCTTTCGGTTTCTTCTTCCCCAGATACAAAACATACTACCTCATCATCACAAAAGCTGCCTTCCGCTACTCCGCAGCCACCACCAGCTCCACCACCACGGCCGCTACTAGCTCCTCCATCACTGGAGTATAGTCAGCCATTAGCAATAACATATGGTCCCAGAAGAACAAAATTCGCAGCACCGCCTCCGGTAGACATGATGAGTTTGAATTCAGTATATAATCAATCTCAACAAAAGCTTAAACCCCCTGTTCCACCACCACCGCCGCCGCCGCCGCCGCCTCCTCCCCCAGCTTTACCAACACCACAAAAGATGGGAATTTCTCCGGCGAAGGCCATCTCAGTGGCTTGCGCTCAACAAGTGGCAAAGCTGGAATCAAGGAGTCCTAGTCCTAGAGTAACTCCTGGAATTGTTAAGGGAAAGCCATTGGAGGAAGTAAACAACAACGGTATTGAAGCTCATGATGCAGGTGGGTTAAAACCAAAGCTGAAGCCTCTACACTGGGACAAAGTACGTGCAACCTCGGATAGAGCAACTGTATGGGACCAGCTAAAATCAAGCTCCTTCCAGTAAGTATACACTCTAAAAGCATATCCTTTGTCAAATGTTGTATGTGTAACTTTCCCTTTGTGTTGTAGACTAAATGAAGACATGATGGAGTCCCTTTTTGGAAGTAATTCTGCTGGTCCAGCAAAAAAAGAAGAAATTCGAAAATCAGTTCTACCTCCAATTGAAAAGGAGAACAGAGTTTTGGATCCAAAAAAGTCACAGAACATAGCCATACTACTAAGAGCATTGAATGTAACAAGGGATGAGGTATCTGAAGCACTTCTAGATGGTAAGTAATCTCAATTTGTATCCCATATGCCAGAGCCAATAATGGTAATTAACAGTTTTAAGACCTCACAAAAATGGAAATGCATAATCAATGCCTAGACGCTTTCAAATATAATAAGCAACCCTGCTTTTACGGTTTTACCGAATTCATATTCCTAATTCTAAGTCATGCAACAGAAGTTATACCACAAAATACTTGCATGTTTCACATTGCTAATGTTTGATCAGATGTTAGAAGTTCCCTATTTCTTTTTGCTTAACTCCCTTGGAGGCATCAATAAATGAAACTTGCAGTTATTCCACAAATATACCATGTTTAGGTGAGGATCTGCAGCCTATACATTTGTTCTGTGGTTAGTTGGATGATAACACCTAACAAGCACAATATGAATGTCTATATAACAAATGCTGATTGATCCAAGTTGAATGTTAGATAAAACTCGGTGGCATTACTTGCAACTGCAACTAGAACAGCAACTTGATGGTTCACTTTATTAGCTATGGAATTGTCTATTATTGTCTGGAGAATCATTCATCACACAAGAATTAATATCGGGTTTCCAAGTATAACCGAAGTTGTAGAGTTAAAAGCAATTAATAATCCTGTTAATGCGACCTCATTCTTTGTCTGTAACCCACAAACTAGCTCTGAATGCATCTTTGGTTTAGTAGGCACTAAGGAAAGGAATTGTCAAATCCTCCAATCATATTCAAGGAATGTAAATATCTAGCAAAGTTGGTGCATCCCAGGTGTAGGATTGCATGGATAACATTAACTTTCTACAACCAGTATCCTTTTTGTCATAACCATGAAAAAAGGACTTCCCAAATAGAAAATTTTCTTAGAGCTCTCTATGTTGATTCGATTTATATATCGTTCATAAGTACCAGGATGTGTAAATGACCAATGGGCATTGACAACAAAACAACTGTTACATCGCCTTGTGTTATGAGAGAGATGAATAAACATAGTGACATGTATATGAACACGTCATAGAAGTTCAATAAATATTTGGTGTCTAGTGACACTCTTCCGTCTTGTATCCAGGAATAGTTGTGCTGTCATTGCTCTATCTCGTACCTCTATCTGTGAATTTACCATCACTAGTCATGATACCTTCTGGATTTATTATGTCCTAGCCATAATCCCCATCACAAGATCATCTCCATAGCATTTGTGGTTGTGTTATGTTTTTAGCCTGCAGATTTCCTATCTATCTGTTTTACAAAATTTCACATCTCATAGACACACTTCGATAACCATCAATTAAGACTTCATTCACATATTCTATGATCAAAATATATTAACATACCTAGTTTAAATTAATACATAAATCTGCTAAAAAGGCATTGAAATAGTTATCTCTTCAGCTGGTGGGTGGAGAAGGGGTAAAAGGGTAACTTTCTCTAATAACAAGCTGCCATCTATCATATATCACTTATGTACTTTAAGCATCTTCATCAAGTGAGTTGTATTTTGGTGGAACAGGAAATCCAGAAGGCTTAGGTGCGGAGCTCTTGGAAACACTGGTAAAGATGGCTCCAACCAAGGAAGAAGAGATAAAACTTAGAGACTATAGAGGTGACATGTCAAAATTAGGCTCCGCAGAAAGATTCCTAAAGGCAATCCTAGATATACCATTCGCATTTAAAAGAGCGGAGGCCATGCTTTACAGAGCAAACTTTGAAAATGAAATCAAATACCTGAGGACTTCTTTTTCAACATTAGAGGTATAAACTTGAATGCTATCATGTAACATATTTGCTAACATGCTCCAGGATTTTAAGTTTTAGTATTCTATGTAATAATTCTTATCTGCAAGTTGTAGCTCATCATATATAAATATATTTTTTTTTTCAGGAAGCAAGTGAGGAACTAAAGAATAGTCGGCTTTTCCTCAAACTCCTTGAGGCTGTTTTACGGACGGGTAATCGCATGAATGTTGGCACAAATCGTGGTGAGGCTACAGCTTTCAAACTTGATACACTCTTAAAACTTGTAGACATAAAGGGGACAGATGGGAAAACTACCTTGCTTCACTTTGTAGTCCAAGAGATTATCAGGTCCGAAGGCACAGACCCTGATGCTAAGAACAATGTTATTTCCACTACAATGAATCCCGGATTCAATGAAGGACATTTTAAGAAGCAAGGGTTGCAGGTTGTTGGTGGGCTGAGCAGAGAATTAAGTAATGTCAAGAAAGCAGCAGGAATGGACTCGGATGTTTTGAGTGGCTATGTGGCAAAACTTGAAATGGGGCTTCAAAAAATTAGATTGGCAGGTTATGAGAAGCCAGACATGCAAGGAAATTTCTTCGATTCAATGAAAATATTTCTTAAACAAGCAGAAGTAGAAATTGCAAAGATCAAGATCGATGAAAGAAAGGCCTTGGCATCTGTTAGAGATGTAACAGAGTATTTCCATGGTGACACGGCAAGAGAGGGGGCCCAACCTTTCAGAATCTTCATGATTGTAAGGGATTTTCTACGCATACTGGATCATGTGTGCAAGGAGGTCGGCCAAATGCAGGATAGAACTACGGTAGGTTCAGCAAGATCATTCAGGATTCCTGCCACTGCATCATTACCGGTCCTAAGCAGATACAATGTGCATGATAGTACAAGTTCTGATGATGAAAGCTCATACTCCTCTCCATGAGACTCTGATATGCACCAGAACATTAGGGCTCAACTTTGTTACAAGCACATGAAGAGCATGACAAGATCAAAATCAGAAATGCATCTTACTTGTACAAAAATAAGTGCATCTCCTTTGGACAAAGAGAAGATCAGAAGTTGATAAGAAAACAGCTAGACAATCTGCATTCCAAACAGCCAACAAGAAGGTCAAGAAAACAATGATGATAATGATGGATATGTGGACTTAGGGCTTCATCCAACTACCAGAAGAAGGTAGTGGAAACTCATGGATCTTCTAACGTGGTATAGAATACAAATTGAAGTAGTCTTGTTAGCTTACATACATTCTAAAAAAAATAAAGATTTATTAGTTTAAATTTTAGTAGACCATTATTTTTCTTTGCATTGAGTTTTTCAACTTCTTAATATTTTTTATCCTTTTTGGGGATCAATATACTGAATCTTGTCCCTTGTCATGTACTGAAACCATTAAGGATCCAATAATCCAGTTCCAAATTCATGACATCAAGAGGGTAGAAACTCAAAACCTGGATGACAATCCTTTCTTTCATGGTCAGAGACACATTCTATTTGTGATTTGAAGATTAAAGATAGTTTTGCTTTATATGTAATTAAATAAATTCCATTTAATTTGTACAAGGTTTACATCCTACAAGTTGTTTATTTCGGTATAAGAATCATAGACCATCTCCAATTTTGGGATTACTGTTTTTCTTTTATACATGTTTAACATCCCCTGGAATGGTACTACTCCATCAAGAACTAACTCTGCAAAATTTGATGTACACAGACCAAGTGACTGACAAAATGGCGCAATGATATCGTCGACATAAATTTCTCAACTTAAAACCATTGTTATTAGAGGATAGACATCTAAAATAAGAGTAGCATCTAGAGTAAAACAATACAATCCAATCCAGTTTCCCTATCGCAATCATATATATATATATATATATATATATATATATCTTATTATTAATCACGGATTTCTTATTTCAAAATGTGGACTTAATTAATTCATTTGATCCTGTATATTCGCTACGATAGAAGCATCAACGAATGACCCTTTAATTGAAGCCTGGATGTTGAAAGAAGATATCATAGAAATTATAGCCGAAACCTGTACCAGGTGTTGTCCATCGTGTGACAGCGAAAGGTCCATTGTTGTCTAGAATAGGGTGTATAGAGTAGAAGGTTACCTGCAAGTTAAATTTGCAGTGATGTGATGGTGGTGGAGAGCTTTGATTCTCCAGCGTTGTTGGAGTTGCAACTTCTTCAAAAATCTAACAACAATGTAGGGTTTTCTGATAGACTCCTCCGGGCATCCTTTCAAACCCTTTTTAATAGAGTTTTAGTTTTGAGTAAGCTACGATTTTTGTCCTTTATAACTACTTTCGTCCCTATTTTTAAACACTGATTTTTTAGTTCATATGGTTTTCATTTTGCTTTTATGATCAACTCTATTAGAAAAAGTATATTAATTTAACATTAATTTGGTCATTTTCACTTAAATTACTTTTCCTATTAAAATTTGAAAGTTTAATATAATATATTAGAGAAAAGTTAAAAAAAAAAACCCAATAGACTTTACTATTTGAAATGATTAAATATTTGGACAATTTTTTGAAACAAATAAATTATTGGGTATTCAAAAACCTGTTAAGTAAGTCATTAGACTTTTTAAAACATGTTAAATAGATCTTTATTCTTTAATAATATAACTTGTAACTTGAAGTAAACCTTAAATTAAAAAAAAAAAAAAAAACCTAAATTTTTTTACTATCGCCTCATCTTCTCCCTCTCGTGACCACCGCCTCCCTCTCGTCTCCTTCTCCCTCTCGCCGCTTAATGCTCACACACCATCGTCTCCCTCGCCCCCATCGTCGCCGCACCACCCCCGTCGATGATTGGGGTAAGCCATTATTTGTTTTTCAGATCGGTGAACACAAGGGATTTGCTGGGGTCCCACCTACTCTGTTAGCTATGTGCTTGCACGAAGGGTTTAACCATCCAGATGGTGTAAAGGAGAAGATTGGGTCGCCGCAAATGTTCATGGAAAATTGTGGAAGTTGTGAGTATATGGGTCTTAGTGCTTTTCCTGTAGAAGAGGTACATAAGATCTCTGTGTTGGATATTAGGATGGCAAATGCAGATAAGCATGCTGGAAATATTTTGGTGAACAAAGGGCAAGATGGTCGATTTGTGTTGATTCCTATTGATCATGGATAATGCCTGCCTGCCAGTGTAAGTGCTTGCTTTCTGCTTCATAACTTAATTCTCAGGTTCTTAGATAAAATCGTCCTTCAAACTGTTTTCTTACGTTTTTGGCAGCACCATTGAACTCCATTTTTGAAAGCATTATAGTTCTAAGTATTTGCTTTTGAACTCCATTTTTAAAGACAGATAGTTTGATTACCCTGAAATGTGGTTGAGAATGGTTCTTGATTTCTTGCCCTGTATTACAGAAACTACAAGTTAACATAACACAATGGGAACCATTTGAAATCATGGTTTCAGGCTCCCTAGGGTGCTGTGATTTTTGGAAAATACCTCTTACTGATTTATCAATTTATAAAAACAAAATCTTTTTGATTATGCTTTTCAGTCTTGAACGCCACCTCTTGTCAATAAGAAGTGAAATAAGATTTCAGAGTTCAGAAACTCTTAAAATAAACAGCCGTGAATTCCTCGGTTCTAATTTATTCATCTATGCGAGAAATTCATATTAAAGTTACTTATTTGCACAAGGACTTTGGGGCAGTTTACCTAAACACTTACCCGGTAAGGCGTTTAACGGTAAAATTCAACTCTAACGCTTACTTACCAGGTAAGATTTTAGTCTACCAAAACGACATCGAATGTAACAATTTATCCGGTAAGCGCTAACCATGGTAAGATTCGTCGTCATTACTTACCGGGTAAGACTCATGGTCATTGCCTTCGTTCTTACCAGGTAAGATTCTTGGTCCTTACCATATTCATCCTGTAAGGAAATATGGTTTGATAAGCGCTTACCCGAGTAAGCATTTAGTAAACGGACTCTTAGTTTTTTTTTTTTTTTTGTTTCTGTAGTTTGAAGACTGCACATTTGATTGGCTCTACTGGCCTCAAGCTCGCCAACCATTCAGTCCTGAAACTGTCAACTACATCAAATCACTGGATGCTGAGGAAGACATTGCTCTACGTAACTTTTACGGCTGGAATTTACCCTCAGGATGTGCACGCACTTTTCGAGTATCCACCATGCTACTCAAGAAAGGTGTGGAGAAAGGATTCACCCCTTTTTCCATTGGAAACATCATGTGTAGGGAAAACTTGAATAAGCAATCCGTGATTGAAGAAGTTGTCCAAGAAGCCGACGATCTTGTTCTTCCTGGTTCAAGTGAGGCTGCATTCATTGAGACTGTTTCTCAGATCATGGATCGCCGTCTGGGTTTATTTGCCTAACAAAGGTCCATAGATGATAAAAATTAGTATATACGTTTCTTTTGTGTATAAGACCTTATGTGCATATGTTTTTGGTACATATGTATCTATATGAGGGTGGATATGTCCCATAATTCTTCCAAGCAGTATAGAATGAGGTTTTTAAGTTTAAATTTGTTTAAACATTTGATTTGTTCCTTTATTTGTTTTGTATTTTGATTTGTTGCTCTTGGATTAAGTCAGAATTTGAGTGGGGTTGAAGGCATTGTTGAATTCTCGAAAATAATATGTAAGTATTTTTTTTGTTCAAAAAATGTTTAAGAACTTGATCGTTCAAAATATGAAAGTCCATTGGTTTTTTCGGACTTTTTCCACTAACAAAATGTATTTAACAGATTTTAGAAAGTCTAAGGACTTATTTAACAGGTTTTGTAATGTYCAATGACTTATTTAACAGGTTCTAGAATGTCCAAGGATTTATTTGTTCCAAAAAATTGTCTAAGGACTTAATCGTTACAAACATTAAAGTCCATTGAGTTTTTTTGGACTTTTCCCAATATATTAATATAGATGTGTATAACTCTAAGGTAGTGTTTGATACGTAAACCGGATGAGATAGAACAGGACGGGACGAGACAGGACATGACTAATTGTATGTCTTATGTTTGGTACGACTAGGACAAGACATGATAAGACTGTTAAAATTACCATATTACCCCTAAATGTTGTTCAATATTATTTTATATCATATATAAATATTGTAAATGATAACAAATCAACCAAAAATATATTTGAATTATTTAATCTATGATATCAATACTTTTTTTAACATTCTAATGCCACATGTAAATAACATTTGTCGTACCATAAATTATAAATACGCACATAATTTAAAAAGTTTAAACACAACAATTGTAAATAACATTTGTCACGCCATCGTCAAAAGTTTAACATTTCAAGAATAGTCTTAAATTTAGTTCCATGTTGTTATATCGTTTTTGGTGGAACAAAAAAAACTCAAGAATAGTTTCACCCAATTTTATTTTTGTCTCATGTTGTCTCATCTCATTTTTATCCCATGGCACATCAAACATGTAACTATTTATTTTTGTCCCGTCCAGTCTCACCTAGTCTGCATATTAAACGCACCCTAATAGAACAACGCCCCCAACCCAGTGCTAGACTCCTCCTCTCCGTCTTCGTTGAACACCACCAACCAATGTGTACCACCAACGATCTCCATCCTTAGGATTCCTCCCATCAATCTCCTTCCCCATACTGTGTTCTTTGGGGTGTTTGGGATTGCTTATTTGAAACAAATTATACTTTTATACAAAAACACTTATCAACTTATTATAAGTCAGAATGATTTAACTTCTTCAAAAACTACTTATTACCGGTTTGGCACCGGTATAGGTTGTTTATCCAAATACTTAAAAATGTTTCTTACCGATATCACATCAAAATAAGTCAATAAATTATTTTTATAAGCAATCCTAAACCCCCCAAATTCTCTCCCTCTCTTCGCTCTCTCTCTCTCTTGACATGTTTAATTCCTCCCTCCCCCATCATTGCTCCGACCCTAACTCGCACCACTCCGAACTCGATATTCAACCTGATTTGTTTTTGGTTTTGGTTACTGGGATTGGTTATCGGGTTTGGTTATCGACTTTGTTTTTTGGTTACCGTTTCAATTTTGTTGGTTAACTGCCACATCAGAACCAGTATGATTAAAGGGTGTCCATTGGATTTTGGTTTTGTTTGATGAAATCACGAATTTGATAACTAATTTGGGTTTTGGTTCACCCGTTTCCAAAAATCACAAATTTAGGTTTGTTGTTTGTTCACTTTATTTGATTAAACAGGAGGTATCGATTTCATTGTTTCTGGTTTACGTTGTTACAGGTGATCTTTGATAATGATTTACTTTCAATGTTTCTAGTCTTTCAAAAGTACACCAACAAACAGTAGGGTTTTGATTATGTTGATTTTCATTTAGGGTTTAGGGTTTTGGTTATGATTGATTGTTATTTTTGGTGTTTGTTTCTTATTTCAATTTAAAAGGTGATGAATGTCATTGGAAGGAGAACATGGAGGGGGAGAAGAAGGGTGAAGATGGAGGCAACATCAGTGACGATCAACGATGACCTCCGTCGTTCCACGATCGGTGAGTCCTCCCCCTTCTCCCCTCCAGGAATTCAAAAATGCAGATGGCTAAAATGTAGCCAGTTTCTGGAATTCTAGCCACAATTTAAGAGAGAGAGAGGGGGGGCTTCTGGTTTTAACAATCGGCACCGGAGAAAAAAGGGTTTGCCGGAGAGGGTGTTCCCGGTGTCTTCCGTTTTTTATATGAAAAAAGAAGAAAAGAAAATAAGAAAAAAATCAATAAATAACTAAAAGGTTAAAGAAATATAAAAAATAAGATTTTCTTCCACACTAATGGGCCGTTTACCAGGCGTTTATTCGGATAAGTGAACACAAAGTCATATTACTTTATCAGATAAACATGGTAAGAAATAAAAATCTTACCCAGTAAGAGCGAGACAAGGAGCAATAGTCTTACCTTGTAAGTGAGGGCGACGACTCTTATTACGGTAAACACTTACCGGGTAAATTGTTGTATACAATAACGTTTTGGTGGACTAGAATCTTACCCGGCAAGTAAACGATTGTGTTACATTTTACCGGTAAGTACTTACCGGGTAAGTGCTTACCGGGTAAGTGTTTGATAAATGGCCCCTAACTAAGTTTTTTTAACAGAATTAGTCCCAAGAATGAAAAAAGAAACAAAGTAAAAATCACAGGGACTAAAAAAGCAGGTTTTTAAAAAGTAGTTATAAACAAGAAAACCACATGGACGAACTTTCACTCTTTGTTTTTACTAGTGTGAGACCGTATTAGGCAAGATCCCACGTCCAACAGTCTGATTCTGCTTTCACGAGCAAATAAGGATTGTCTTATAAAAGCTCAAAAKATTCATTCTGCTAGGATCAGTTTATCGAGCAAAAGCGATGGAAATCTTAATGCCATACAATAATTCTTGCTAAGAAGAACGCCCATGTTCCCATGCTAAAGTTTCAATCAATTCCTGCCAATATCCACGCCAGGAAATTGAAAACATAAATCCAATAGTCCAAACAAGATGTCCAAATAAAAACATCTATGCTGCAATTTAAGAAAGCACAACAATTGAAATGGGCAACGCATGATGGAAAGCAGAAAAGGCTTGGCTTTGTTTCACAGAAAAAGGACTAAGCCTTTGCCTTTCTTTGCTATATAAATAGAGGGACTGTCCAAGGGACTGCACCTCCACAGATGCTATCAAAAATGATTTTTTTTCACTCTCCACTGCTATTTTGGAGTAGTCTAATCTGTATCAAAACATCAAACCAAAAAGGGGGAGCTCTGACTTCCCCCCCTTTTTTTGCCTTCGCCTATTAACGGCTGGCAACACCCCTCCCCTCCCCTTCCCCTCGCCGGCCCTTGCCGCCTTCCTTAACAAGCCCTCGAGCCTCCTTTGCGCTGCCTTCCTAATAGAAGTCGTCAGGTTGACCCCGAAGGCCGAATTCTATGGTAGAGAACGTTGTATAATAATTGAGCCATGTATCCTAAGTTGTGACGTAATCTTTTATTAGAAAATATAAAAATAAGTTAAAATGAAATACATGGTATTAGAAAATATAAAAATAAGTTAAAATGAATTTTTGTAACTAATTGTAGATAAACATAATCAAATATAAGATAAACATCTCATTTTAAATATAAAAAATCTAAAATACAATTAGGATAGTTATTGATTTCTAACAAAATATTTAATTATTATCTTTATAAAAAACTATATTATTAAACCAAAAATAAATAAATAAACGAATTAAAGAAATACACACAAAAAAAAATTTAATACTTAATTTGACATTAATACCAATATTTTTTTTTAATTTTTTATGATATCTTTATATTTTATTCAAAAATAAAAAACATTATTGTTTTTTTAAAACCACATAAAAACCGAACTATATCATTGACTGAGACAAAGAAAGAAATAAAACAAAACATTTAAAATTAAGATGTATCTCACTGTATCATGCGAGTACCTTTCTAGTATAAAATAATAAATAACATAAAAAACACATTATGTAATATTTAAACATCAAACTCGAAAGGTTAGGTGGTTAAATGTTGTAAAAAATACCAAAACATCCCGTTCAACCAAATTCAATAGCAGAAGACCAAATCACGTTCTATAGGATTTGAACCTACGGCATCAAGTTTTGGAAATCTACGTTCTACAGAACTGAACTAAGAACGTTTTCTCATCATAAAAGATAAGACTAGAAAGAAAAGGATCGGCCCTGATGCATCTTGTATAAATATACGCTATATAATATCATATTCAATTGTGTAATTGGTGTTCAAGTTTTAAGATGTTTAAACTCCATGTTTCATCATTGATTCATGAAAGATTTCAATGTCCATACATAGAGAGATGTACATCTAATAAAAGCATGAACAAACAACAAAGAAACAATAGTTTTATTACATATTGTGTAAATTTGTGTTTTAGTTGTCAACCCCGTCGGATCCTCATGATAGTGCCAACCTGAAATATGGAGCTCCGGTGATGCTCTTGGATCTCAACACCTTTCTCGCCAATATGTTCCACTTCGTCTCATCCTTCTTCTTTCTCTTCTTCTTGTTTGCTTTTGCAATCTTCTGCTTAAACCTCCTGCATAGAGGAACCCTACAAGCATTGGAATTGGCACACAGACGAGCATGCAGCTCCAAAAGCTGCCACATTCTTTTGCAATGAGGACATCCACCCGACACTCTCAACTTGCATCCGTAAAAATGGCGAACAAGGGATTCAAGCCCTCTGCAACCCTCATATTTGCAAGCCTTTTGATCCTCTTTCTGTACCTTATCTCGACATATCTCAACAAGGGCTTCCATTGCTTCATATAGTTCTGCATAAATCTTCCTCTCTTCCCTCTTTCTCATCTTCTCTTTTTGTCTCTGAAACACACTCGATTAGTCAGAAACCAACGTACAAGTTGATCAAAAACTGATTACAGTTTACTTATTTATCTATGCTTACTCGGTCTTCTTCCCTAACGGATTCCAGAAGTTCTTTCTCGAGAGCTGGATGACTTTCTCGCATGGCCTTCCAACCCGCAGAGGAAGATACTGCGTTAAAGCTCCTTAGCATAAACCGATGACAAATGATACTAAGCCGAGGAGCATCACACAGCAATGCAAGCTGAAATACGTCGACTACGTTGTCCACATTCAGCAATAGGTGTTCGAGTTGGTATTCGCACTCTCGTTTCAACTTTGGTACCGCAAAAGCATGTGAAAGCACCAAGAGTGACAATACATGCTCCTCCACTTGTGCTTGTTCATAGCTACACCGAAAGAGAATTCAAATAACATAACCCGTAATTACATGTAAGGCAAGTTCAACAAGTAAAAGTCACATATACTACCATGAAGTGTACAAGAATCGGATGAAGATACGAACAGCCTCTGCTGGAACCCCACGAATAGGAATTGAGATTATACCTCTGCTTCTTGATTTCTTAAACATACTTCTAAAAACAGGTGAGGCAAAACCCTGCATAGATTCCATCAAGGTTATCATCATTAAAATCTACATACGGAAACAAGTCCTGGGCTATGTCTTAACTAATCTTGGTAAATTGTGACCATAGCCCGGATGATAAACTCAGTGGCCACAACTGTTGTGTACAGAACCTGGGTAGATGGTATATTCCACCATATCCGCAGGTGGTTAAAGATTGAAGATTATATTACTATTTTAAAGTTTGTACAATGGTTTAACTTACAAGAATACTAGCATGTGCATAGATGATGGTGCCATTATCTGTATGAATCTTAACATCTGCTCTATAAGCTTCATCAAAGAGACGGTCCCATAATTCGATCATAGCTAGGGAGGTGCAACAGTTTCTTTGCATCCATGATGATTTGTTTTTGCTCAAAGTGCACCCTTTCGGATGACCGATGGATGTTGTTGATAGAACGGGATGACCAACGACGATCGTTGATGTGCCATGTAATGGAGACACCAGTTCAAGTTTCTTGCCAATCGATGGAGTTTCTTTGCAGCTATTATTCATAACGTGTTCTTGTCTGACCCCTTACGGAATCAACGCGGTTTTATATTCTATAACATGATAAATTTTAGTACTCAACATGACGATAAAATGCAATTGCAATCATAAATCCTACGTTTACAATGTAGATGCAAATAATCAACAAAGGCTTGCAATTCAACATTGACCTATATTAGTGATAATAAAAATGAAATGGCTGGCAAAGATTAAAACATAAGATCACATGTTGACAAGCAATTGAATGTTATATTGGATTTTTTTATACAAATCACAAATCTCTATCGACTAACGAGCTTCGATGGGAACCAAACAAAATCAAAGAAACATGAAAGTTATCTAATACCGAGGAATCAAAAAAGCTGTCGAATTTGATCTTGAGATTTATTTCAAGATTAGTTTCTTAGCAGCGTAAATCCAATCCGCCAAATCCTAAAACCACGTCAAACGTTAACATATCTATCCATGCTTCTCGACTAACACACAATGTCAGAGGGAAAGCCAATTGAATATCTCGATATATCTAGAAGTTGGTTATCCCTCGAGCATCACCGCCTCCTGCGTGATCCACCACCAATCACCGTTGTTAACCAGTAATAACGGTCAGATTGGTGGTTGGATCCCTAGGCTCATTCAAGGGACGAGGAGGAGGAGGAGGAGGAGGAGAATAAAAAGATAATAAAAAGATGGAACAAGAAAAAACATTTATAGAAGAGTTAATTACATTTTTACTCCACGTGGTTTGATAAAAACTTTGGTTTTTGTCCTTGTGAATTTGAAAAATGGATCTTTATTTAGAAACTAATTGCATACAAGTATCTTGAGGGATCAATTATGTACAAGACCAAATAACTGAAAGGCCATTCTGTAATTATTCCGATAACATACAAGTCTCATTTTGTTTCAAAATAACAAACAAAAACGATACCTCCACCAGCTGTCAAGTTTTAATTTGAAGCCCTTCAACTATTTGGATTGGTCAAACTGCCCCTTTTAGTATTGATATTATTTAAAATGCATACTACTTTTTGAGATTTTTCCTTTCCTTAACAAAATAGGTTTTTATATAAAGCATAAAAAACAAAAAATCTATTGAAAAGATTTTAAAATGTATCTTGATGACGTATGTATTTTCCATGGCTCTAAAAGGCAAACTACATACAGCGTCCAAAGTCAAAATATTATAAAAACATATTAGGGATCGTTTATCAAACATTTATTTAGTAAGTGATTATTGGTAAAATTTAATATTGTTATTTACTTATCCGGTAAAAATTTAGTCCACCAAAACGACATTATATGCAACAATTTACTCGATAAGCGCTTACCGTGATAAGAGTTGTTGTCCTGACTTACCGAGTAAAACTCATAGTCTTTGTCTCGCTTTTACCGGGTAAGATTCTTGATACTTACCATATTAATCCGATGAGGTAATGTGATTTGGTAAGCGCTTACTCGGGTAAGTGTTTGGTAAACGGTCCCTTAGTCTTATTAAATATGATTTTTGTAATCATACTTAATATATTAATTATTCACAAAATAATAAAGGATTTATGCTTCTACACAACCTATATTAAAAAGGTGTCTTTTTTTACCTCTTAACGCCTATTAGGTGACAAATGAATATATACCATAAAGCATAAAATTTGATTTAAGGGTTATCATGCAAAGGATGATGAAATTTAAAAAAATTGGTACCATTTATTAAACGTTTATCTTTGATAAATGTTTATCGGTTCGATTATTTTTTTGGAAGATTCTCGCAGGCTATGCCTAAATTAATCCCAACAAATTTTGATTGTAATAATCAGCTCTGATAAACTCAGTAGCTATAATTATTCCATATACCTGGAATCTTACCGGGTAAGCATAATAAGGACCAATGATCTTACCCGGTAAAAGTGAGGACTAGGATCGAGAGTCTTACTCGCTAAAATTGAAGGTGACGACTCTTATTCAATAACCTTTTTCCGGGTTATAAACATTTACCATCAATCTATTTTAATGACAAAGAATGTTATAATAGATATGTAAGAGTAGTGGCTATTGCCGGTAAGCACTTACACGATAGATATTTGGTAAACGACCTTTTAACTTCTTCATTTTCATATTCAAGTATGATATAGTGATTAACTTGTTAAACAATCAAATGATGTTTAAGTTTTTTATATCGTATAATCTATACTATATTATAAAGCATTTGATAAAACTCTTAAAAACCATTTTTTATGCGTAAAGTACTGTTTATTAATGCATATTACTTAAAACTCAATATTACAATTAGATTATGGGTAAGTACAACTTATTAAAGCTCCATATCTGAATTCGTGTAATTAACTACAGATAAACATAATCAAATACAAGATAAAAATATCATTTTAAATTAAAAAATCTAAAATATAATTAAAATAATTATTGAGTTCTAACAGAATAGTTAATTATTATCTTTATAAAATGATATATTATTAAACCAAAAAATAAATTATTTCGTTATTAAACTTAAATTAAATTATAATAAAAAAATAAATTAAAGAAATTACATAAAAAATAAAACTTTTAAATAGTTGATTTGATATTAACATTGGTAATTTTATTTTATTTAAATTTTTATGATATATTCAAAAATAAAATTATTATTGTTTTCTTAAAAACACATAAAATCGTATTATAATATCGACAAAGACAAATAATAAAATAGAACATTAAAATCAAGATATGTCTCGCTGAATTGCGCGAGTGCTCTTCTAGTAATTATAAATGAGACAACTCAACTAAATATTTAGGTGGCGTTTGTTTTTTAAGAGGTGCTGAAGTCTGAAGTCTGAAGTCTGAATTCACTTCTGAATTTTAAGAGGTGGTGCTGAAGTCTGAAATCTGAATCAGTCAGACTGTTTGTTTTTACGTCTGAAATCTGAAATCTGAATCAGTCAGACTGTTTGTTTTTCCATCTGAAATCTGAATCTGAAATTTGAATCAATAAGACTGTTTGTTTTTGTAAACTGACAGGTGGTGCTGAAGTCTAAAATCTGAATCAATTTATTTCAATTAAATTTAACTGAAATATCCAATCATTTAAACCATTTGTAAACTACCATATACTTTTAATACATTCAAAAAGTCAATTGAAATACGTCAATTGATTCAAAACACAATAGAAAACACAAATAAAGGTCTCATAACAACTAGAATCAATATTCATTTTGTCCATGCTCTTTCGGCCTGTTGTTTTCATAGGGTGCCAACTGTTTTAATTTGATCTGACCACAGCTAATGTAACCTCTTGTGAATTTAGTTGAACATATCAATATCCAATGTCCTAAGTATAGCAGAAGTTTCAGTTGCTTTGTCTTGTTTACATTTGTTATATTCCAGTACCATTTTACGATCCTATGAATGGACTCCCTGATGCTTTSGGCTTACAGTTGCTATATAGGTAAATCCGAACCTAATAATAATACCAAATACACTATATAGTCTTGAAGACTTGCATAAGTGGTATCATTCAAAACTCCTAATTTTAACAGAAGGGTTAACAATGTCTGCMTGTTTTAGATTAGGTTAGCCCTAATTGATGTGGGTGATGCGATTACCTTCACATTAGAGGAAAACAGAAATCAACCAAGCAAGGACAAACAAAATCGAGAGCTTGAGAGATCGAATCAAAATACCTTAAATCGAGAGATGGCCCTGTTAGACGGTAGGCGAAGGCGAAGGCGAGATGGAGAGCAATCGACAGCAATCCTGTTACGCAGGCGAGTATCGAGATGGAGAGGGGCGAAGGCGAGAGAGAGATGGAGAGGGAGCGTGTACTGCGTAGGCGAAGGCGAAGGCGAGAGAGAGATGGAGAGGGAGCGTACTGCGTAAGGGAGATGGAGGCATTAAGAGGAATTCAGACCATGTTTTACCTCTAAATAAATCAAACCTAATTAGATGAATTAAGCACTTAATTAAAAAAAAACGCACTTAATTCCTCTAGGTCTGAATCGGTCAGACTTAAGAGGCAATTAAGTGATTTTTTAGAAAAACAAACAGGGCCTTAGATAAGTTTAGTTATAAATATAAATGCATTATTTTAATACTATATTGTCAAGATTCATACATAATTGAATTAATAAATTTGTAACTATTAATTTGAAATAATTCTAGCCTGTATTTTTTAATGATTAAAACATTAAAAATGAAAGATTACAGGAGTAAGTCAAAACTTAAATCTGAGTTTTACTATTTACGATGTATTGAAACAAATAATTTTGATCTCATCACCAAAAATTCTGAATCCAACATCGCGTCATCAGAATAGCATATGCATATCTTCTAAGTTCCAACTCTCTTCATCACCTGCCAATCAATAACAATATTCAAAAAACAATAAATATGTTCAAAAAAACATTCTTAAGATTACCTTCACAAGGTTTTGTTGTAAAGTTTCAAGTGTAAAAAAGTAGTCTCACAGCTCTCACAAAAACAGGCTGGTTTCACACTGTGCTGACTGTTATAGCGGTGAAAATATAAAATTGCGGTCGCGACCGGTATTTGAAATAGTGGTTATAGCGATATATATATATATATATATATATATATATAATATGCCTGCATAAACATATCATTTGTAAAAAAAATGTTCATAAACGAGCTAATCATAAACAATAGATTCAGTATCTGAGTCAACATCATCTAATAGTTCAATTCTTCGTTTAGGTTAGCTTCACACTCTTCCCCTTTTCCCCCTTCATCTCCAACATGATCATCATCATCATTCCTATAACGTTCCCCTATACTTCTTGTACTTGGCCTAACTTGTTCATTACCTTACATTGCATCTCGTACTTCTAACATTAATATCGAACGCATTTTACTCTAAATATCGGTCAAAATTACGGTAAATTGCACCGATAATTTCTCTACCACAATTTGACCACATTGGACCGCTATCCGAGATATCGCCCCAATTAACAGCATACATCTCACGTAAACTCAACCCTATCAAACGAGAACTACAAAAAAGT